TCGTCCCGAAACTTGACATCGTCTACGGTTGGATCCAATTTGTTCGGTTTAAACAACTCAATTCCGGTGACACCGTCGTTCTTTACAGGGACGATGATTCACTTACGGGTGCACATTACAAGATCGAAGTTCTCAGGAGCCATGAGTTTTGTTCATAGAAAAGAAATTTAGAATCAAAGAGAACGTTATTTGGATTGTACATTCACCTGTTTTAATTGTATGAAATGAAAGAGAACACAATGGTTTTTTGAATGGTTTCATTATGACTGCTCTGTTTTCCCCTGTTTTTGTTCTCTTCTTCCATGGCTGAAAGGTGAGAGCTTTGGGTATATGAATCATGAATTTAAATTAAAGTTGTAGTTGCGTTTTTGTTTATTGCAATTATAGATATAACAAATATTATTCGATCTCTATGGATATCACGATCATAAATGACGACTTGTCGCCGTTACTGTTGTATAACGACTGTTATTCTATTATATTGTTTGAATTTCTTGTTTGAATTTGTACAACTAGTTATGAGTAATTGATGATATCAACATTCTTCAAAAACCCATTTTCTGATTTAGATTGTTAATGAAAATTATGAACTAAATTCGAATCCATATGAAGTGTGAATTGTTTTTAGTGGTATTAAGAAGAAAATTAAGGGGGAAATCAATAAAAAAACAAGGGAAAGTAGGTTTACGAGAGCTGAATTTAACGATTCTCGTAGGGAACTGGCGATTATGAATTATCCGTTTAGTCAGGAGCTCGATAAAAACGAAGTCTCACTCGAGATCGCGCGATTTCAACTGCTCTTGTCTATAGTCAAACCACCTTAATATTTATGGTTGAATCGAAATTAAACCTTTTATTTTATTTATTTTATTTATAGTAAATTAAATCAAATAGACGTAATATCAAAATTAACTCTTTAGTATTTATCTGAATAGTTACTTTAATTTATATTTTTTAGAATATTTCAATCTTAACAGTTAATTTTCAGTTAAAATAATCCATGTTAAATGAAAATCGTTAATTGACTAACTATTTAACACGTGTTATTAATATAATATTTCTACATTTGCTTAATTCTCGATGTATCACCTATCACTCGACATTTTGTTTCATGTCACACATGTTATGTCATCATCTTAGATGATATAGGATGTGACATGTTAACGATTAGACACATGAAGAAATGTTACATCAATAACATGTGTTGACCGTTAAATCGACAAATGGTTTCCATTCAATAGGGATCATTTTGAGCAAAAATTGAAACGTTGAGGGTTAAAGTTTTCCAAAAAAATAGGAGTCAAAAAAATTATTCAAACAAACGTTGAGGGTTAAAGTTTTCCAAAAAAATAGGAGTCAAAATAATTATTCAAACAAACGTCGAGGGTTAATTTTGGTATTATGCCAACCAAATAATGGTGTATTGTTAAATTTTAAATTTTAAATTGTTTTAATTTAGTAATGAATCTTAGTTTCGACTTCAATTAGGATAATTGCCCTCGTTAATAGTGTGATGATATGATTATTTCTTTTGGTAAATTTTAGTTTATGTATCGATTTTGTTAATAATCTTTAGAAAATTTCAATTTGACTCTTGAATACAATCAAAGTTCATGTCGTTCGGGAGGTCAAAAGGGCGTGAATCGAAAATTTTGGGTTCCAACAGTCATTGGCGACAACAAGCAGTAGTGACCGGTGAAGAAAACCAACGGTGATCGGCGATGGTAATGAGTGACGACTAATGAAGTGAACTTTGATTGGATTTGGGGCTTAAAATGACATCTTATATAAAGTTTAGAGGTTAAATTAATATTTTATGTAAAGTTTAGGGGTTAAATTAATATTTTGTCTAAAATTTCGAGATCAAATTAAAATTTAACTACTTTTGCTAATTGTCACGTAAACAAAATAACGAAAATCAATAGTATTAGTGACTAAAATAAGACTGATCCAAAACGTAAGGAATCACCGTTATCATTTACCCTTTAGAAAAAAAATATAAAGTTCAATTGCGGAATCGCGCGATAGAACATTAAAGGAAAATACAAATCATATGCAAGTGAAAAGGACATGCAAGAAGACTTTCTCAACCCCTTTAATTAGTGTTTAGATTAATCGGCGTTTCAAGCTTAAAGAAACAAAACTGGATGATGTCGGCATCTTATGGAACTCCACAAAAACGCCAGACTCGCACGATCACTCGTGCTAAACTCGGTGGCGTTTTCAAACACCAATGGATTCTCTCACTATATATATATATATCACTACTCCATAACCAAATGCAACAAGACTATCTTCTTCTATGGCACTTTTCTTCAAAGTTCTTACAAAAATTGACGTGGAGAGAACATTATCGTTACCAGATGGCTGCCTACCCCAAGGTTGCCATCACAAAGAGTTGAAGGTCATGGATGATGTCGGCATCATATGGAACTTCCGTTGCATGATATGAGACGGGGTTGTCCCGAAACTTAAAATCGTCTACGGTTTGATCAATTTTGTTCGGTTTAAACAACTCAATTCAGGTGACACCGTCGTTCTTTACAGGGACGATGATGCACTTACGGGTGCACATTACAAGATCGAAGTTTTCAGGAGCCATGATTTATCAGGTCCAATCCCCGCTCCCAATTTGATTTGGTGACTTTTTCAGACTATTACTATTTTTTTAATTGGAGGTTTGCAATAATCATAATGGTTGATGGAAACAAGTTTATCTCGTCGATGTTGACTTCTTTTGATTTAGACAGATAATCATAGTCGGTGAGATAATGGATAAAACACCTACTAATGACCGTTGCATCGACTACGACTCTCTACCCAAATTAGAAGGAATGAACAGCCGACGAGACAAACTTATTCCCGTTAACAACAATGGTGCATCGGCATACCCTATTTTTGTTATATTCATATGCTTGCTGTAGAGCTTGATGATTCCGATGATGCATCATATTAGAGGAGGGTTTTTTTAATGAAAGGTATTATCTGAGATTAAGCACGAAATTAATCCGATCTTTAAATCATGTAAGCAGACCAGGAACATTGCGTGGACCAAATATTTGATTCTGGTGTAAATGGCTTTGGCCTGATTCTAGTTCTTCTGTCCTTGATTTTATTAGGTCTCCTAATGCTTCGATCATTTTTAGACGTTAACCTGAAATGATTTTTTGAGTGCGTGATTTGAATCTGTTGGTGCAGGGATGCTGATTTGATTTTCTTATATTTATTTCGCCCCTGCTCTGCTGTTTGATTCTGGTTTTCCATATGATTGTGGCTTAGTTATATTGGTCTGCTGGGTGTTCTTTTGCTGTTGTTTGTGGTATGTTTGGTAGTGAGTTTATTACAGCAGAAGAGTTGTTCAATGCCTACAGTGCCATCGGTTGATGGATTGAAGTTTGGTGATCTGCAGTTGCTACTGTGGCGCCTCAGTGTACCTCGTTCGTTCCTGGTTTGTTTAGGTCACTGTGGTCGAGTGCTTGGTGCTGTTTTTGGTTTGTCCAGGTGTCGGTTTTGGTTCTATACCAACAGGTGCTTTTGGTTTCCAAGTGTTAGAAGTTCGGTCTGTTGCTAGGACTATCTTTGGAGTTGTTATGCTCTCTTGGTTCAAATTCGATTTGGGTGCTCTTTTTTTCTATTTAGGCTTAGAGAAATTTTTAACGAGGTTCTTATCGTTATCATCGTTTTGTATGCTTTTCTAAATTATCAATAACATACTAAACTCCCCTTTTCAAAAAAAAAAAAAAACACATTTATCCTTTATCAATACATTGGAAGTTTAATCAAGATTTATTATGATAAAATGTGACTTATGTTGTAATTATCTAAAATTCGGAGTCAATGTTAATATATTGACATTCAGTTGGATTTAATGAGGTAAAATTTGACTTAATTAAATGAAAATTGAACTCAAATAGCGTTAAAAGTAGAATTTGTGAGTTGAGGATAAAAGAACAGAGAACTTGTGGAACAATTTGCCTATCTGGGAACGAGTTTTAAGAAACAGAATGATCTTTACATTTTATTCTTCGCTCTCTTACACATTTGACATTCATTTCTCATGTTATATTTTCCTGAAGGCTATTTCTTGTTTGGTTTGAAGTAGGAGAATTGGGGGAGACTTCCAAGACAAAAAGGGAAGGAAAGGAAACAGAAGAGATATGATTGTTGGAAGTAAAACAATTGCCTTATTGATTATTTTTGTATTTTTACTACGTTTTAATATGCTTTTATACATTAAAATGTTGATGTGATAGTTTACGATTATGTATCCCTTTATGATATAAAGATATTATGTATGCCCTAATTGTGGTCGTTGCGAGTGTGTTGGAATCGATTTTTATGTTTTTTTTAGTTTTCTAGTTATAAGTATCGATACTCGATAAACAACCGAAAAATATATAGGAAATATTTTAGGAGAGTACCGAAACTCTTCCAGAAATATCGATACTTAGAGATAAGAATCGATACTCAACCGATAATCGGATGATGTAAAATTTCCAATGCACATGTTCAGTATTGATACTCTACAAGAAGTGTTGATATTCCCCATTTCACAAAGCTTAATTTTGCTACCTAGATACTTGTATTCACCTATAATGACCCTTCGAACCTGGATTAGGAGATTGAGGACTGAAATAACTAAAACATTCTCGAATTCTTGAGTCAACATGTGTGTTGACTCGAACCATTAATGAATTAATTAATTAGAGTAATTAGATTTGTTGAGCCAAGTTTATGCTTGATTGGATGATAAATTTGTCCAATTGAGTGCAAAAATGAGATTTTTGATTTGTGGGTGAAAAGTGAAGGACTAAAAGTGTAATTGAACCTTAAATTTGAAAAAAAAATCACATCCTCCTTGATTTAGTCTTGAAAATGTGAGTTTTTAAGGGTTAGTATCGATATACAAAACACCTGAGCCATTCATATATCATCAAAGTTTCAGAGTCTATAGTTCCATACACCAAGTTGCAAATATACCAATAAAGCAGCTGAGTTACTACTCAAACTTCTCTAGGATTTTATACACATTTATAAGCTACCACAGTGAAGTTCAATGTCATTAAAATAACCTACTCGGAAGATGTACCTGATGGTATTATCTAGTCGACGATCGGATTACTCCGTTGAAAAGCTCGAATATGGTAACTTTCAGCATGATCTCTTTCGTATTAATCAGATCGAATATGCAAACATCTCCTTCGTCTAAATCATTATCCATGACGAATTCGGCCCATCCTTTGCTGAACTTCAAATTATTGTTACAATAAACACATTGGACTGGCCATTTTCCCTCGTCCGAGCGTTATAACCCCGTCGACTCCGTTCATGTACTTCTGAGCAAAGCAGCGGGGCAAATACTGTGGATACGAAAGGAGAAACAACGTTAGTCTAGAATATGTTTCGAAGCTCCAATCGAGAAATGATGTCAAAGGAGCGAGTCTGAGTAACATAGCTTACTAGAAGTACTCTCTTGTATACGTAGGATGGTCGTAAGATAACCCTGCAGAAAGGATTGTCGGGTTTGAACATCAAAGCCGCATGAAACGCACACTGTTTTCCTTCTACCGTCACATCTCTCCGCCTCAGGGTAACACTAGGAGGGTTCGGGGCAGGAAGCTCGTCTTTCACTTTGATTTTCCATAACGGCCCATGTTCATCCATATCTTCAATGAATTAGCACAAGAAAAGTCTATCAGTAACACCCTATAAAAGAAAGCATTCGAGTTCATCGATCTTACTCAGATCGGGTTCTTGTTTTATAGCATCATTGATTCGTTGTGTTTCGTTCGAGAAACACAGTCCGACTTCATCTCCAGTACTCGTAAGCTCAACCCCATTAAACTGAATGCCTTTGTCTCGGGTAGATCAAGACATTGCTCGTAAATCACAAAGTTCATTTTCTGGATGCAGGCATGTAGAGTTCGTATATCTCTTCCTATCATGATGTAGACATTCATCAACATTCTTATCAGCAAAGCCACCATCTTCCACGTCTTTTAAATGCGGATTACAAACCGGTTCCGGCGAATTATTTAGATTATTCGGCAGATAGTCGATCTCCGAAGCTTTCAGATTATACACATTAACATCGAAACGAGAATTCCCTTCGTATTTGAAGACCAAGAAGTACCCAATGCATATGGAATAATGTTCAACAAACGTATTCCAACCACTGTCGAGCCATATCTTCTTGTTATCTTTATGTCGTAACCCGCTTTCGCCCGGGCACGAAATATTTATTTGGCGGAAATATTTATTTACAACAACCTGTCGTTCAACCTTAGTTGGCGCCACTAGTTTCTTGTTGTTAAAATTTCAGCTCTCCTTCTGTGGAAAGAAATCTTCATAATATCTCATTTCTAATCTTGGGGTTGAAGAAAACAGACTTCATCTTGGATCAATAGATGGAAACCATATGATCACAACATTGGTGTAGCACCATAATTATTGGTTCGTATTTGACAACACATTCACCCTTTCCTGTGGCTTCTGCTTGGATTGCTGGTCAGGAAAACTCTTTGCACAGTGTTTAAAGCTTTTGTATGATGTCACAAGACCACTTGAGAACAAAACTCAGTGGGAATACAAATGAGATATTGGTATGACCAAAAAGTTGGTCAAATCCATAAGATATGCTAGTGTCGAATTGAATAAGAGACACTAATTGCTCTTGATATCATCCCGGGAAAGGGCAAGTGTAATACTGATCACATTTTCTTCTGTAATGAGAATTCTAGAAAGTAGAAACACTTCAGCTATATGAACCATGTACAGAAAGAGGTCCAAGTAATTCTTGCTGCTGGGGATGAAACGCACATGATAAAACCAAATGGATGAAAACTCAGTTCAGCCTAGCTGACAATGATAACCCCAGTAACAACGAGAATAAGAATAACATAAGCTGAGCCTATTTATTTGTTCAATATCATCAAGTAAACAAACACTGATGTGAAAAATAACTTCGTGATCTCAACAGCATGATTGAAACTAACTGTCAGGAATCTCAAAGAAATATTTCCAGTCATCATCGACACACAAAATACAAAATTCAAAGTCGAGATTTTGAGAAACTGAACCCTGGATCGAATAGTCTGCCTGGGGACCATCTTTATCTATGCAACTGTGATGTAGCTTAAAGAACACACTGTCATGTGACACTTAGTTAAGAAGATTGGGTATTTGAAACCACACTTGCTGAATAGATATTTGTTCAACAACAGGACCATAATGCAACTGCCTGACGAAAGAAGCAATTATGTATAGTCAGCTCGACTATCATTGTTTCACCATTTTCATTCTTCATATGTTTCCGTCTCATTGGAAATATTTGCTCAATCAATGATCTTGACACAGGATGATATGAGCCTTCAAGATGCCCCAACATTTTCTGATGAAGACATTCAAAATACATCAACATTTCTGATTCTGATTGAAATGGGCTTTCAGCATGCCCCAACATTTGCTTCTTATTGATATGAGCCTTCAAAATGCCCCACATGGATCTGTGTGAAGTGGCCTTTGAAATGCCCCAACATTTGCTGATACAGATATTAAAAATGCATTCACATTATTTCTTGTTGAGATGAGCCTTCAAAAATGCCCAAATATTCATACCAACATGTGCCCTCAGGATGCCCCACATGAAATATTTCTGTCTGAAATGGGCTTTCGAGATGCCCCAATATTCTGCTTCTGATTCACTCTTAATGTCGGTTTGTATAGAATATCATGATCCGAACGAGGTCCAATTTTGACAATGAACTGTTGTAGGTACTTGTGGCTTTTATTCGTGCTCCAAATCTGTTTATTCTGAATACTCTCATTCTGGTGTCACTAAACAACAGTGTTGTCAGGTAACTGGAGGAGTTCTCTTCATGTTGTCACAAATTTAAGAAGTACTCAATTATTCTGACAAAAACGTCTGAGATATGTGTCTTTTCTGAAGGATTCTAGTCGGACATAGCAGTATAAATCGCTTGGTAATCCATTCCAGGTTGACATAGTGAACCTTGTTTTCAGTGAAGGCTATTTCTGTAATATACTTTTCTGTGAGAGAGAAACCAATTCATGTGAACAATAATCTGATGCAATAGCAAGACTATATATACAGGCTCTTGAAAATCCACACCCATGCAACATGTTGATTCTGATAACTACTCATCTGATTATGAAGTGATCTTTCAGGATGATTTCACAAATATTGATAGTTCTTCTGATACCGAGGAAATCCTGAATTCTGATTCTGATGAGGAGAATAAACTGTTATACTTGACGAAAATGGGATACTCAGATGTTGAGGCTTCAATAGCCATGGAGAGATGTGGTACGGATTCATCAATTGCAGAGTTGACAGATTTTATATTTGCTGATCAAATGGCTGAGGCTGCTGACGCACTTCTTCCGGTAGAAGATAGGAATTTATTATGCAATGACCCCAAATTACAAGCAAAGGCGAAACTCGGGCTATGATTTTTGAAAAGGAAGAAGCAGAGGAAGCTTGAAAAGAAGCTTTTTAATGAAGACAATTGTGCAGTTCATCTTCTAAATCCAATGATTGGTTTTGGGGTTTTTACCGAATCTGATCAGATAACTCAAATAACACTTCAGAAAATGATATTGGGCCTCTTTATTTCTACTACGAGAACGTGGCACTTCCTCCAGTTGATATTTGGACTGGAATATCACAGTACTTATTCGATGTAGAGCCAGAATTTGTAGATTCGAAGCATTTTTGTGCTACTACCCGAAAACGGAGCTATATTCATAATCTGCCAATCGAGAACAAATTTTCTCTTATTCTGCTTACTCCACGCACCATACATGATATTTTTCCATTGACAAAGAAATGGTGCCTTCCTGGGATCCAAGAACAAAGTTGAACTGTTTACAAACATGTACAGTAAGTGCCAAATTGACAGAAATGAGCTGTAAGGCTCTTGAAGCTTATGACGATGAGCCATCTTCGAGTGTCCAGAAGTATGTTCTTGATGAGTGCTGAAAATGGAATCTGGTATGGGTTGGAAGGAATAAAGTTGCTCCACTTGAACCTGATGAGGTGGAAATGCTTCTAGGTTTCCCTAAAAACCATACACGAGGAGGAGGATCTGCTAGAGACATGTTCCCCGGTGGTATCAATGTCCTGTCTCTTTTCTCTAGAATCAGGGATGTAGAGGTTGCCTTCTACTGTCTTGGCATACCTTTGAAAACAGATGTGCAAGAACTGAATGATGATCGGTTAGAGCAATTGATGAGTAGATTTGTCGAATTCGACCTTGTTGTCGGTGGCATTCCATGTAATAACCTTTTCTTGCAATGGCTACTAAAGTGAATGTCTTTCAGTATCTCCCTTTAGAACAAGGTAATCATTCTTGATAAGTTGCTGATAATGTCACAGGAGAGCATCATAAGTTCAATTCTCCAAACTTTCTGGCTTCTCAGACCACTTGATTTCAAGAGTGCTTCATCATTTTGGTCTGACTTATTCTTTCTCTTCAATAGAGGTAGAATAGGCAACAACTTGCTTCAAGGACCTTCCTCATTTGAGACTGTCTTGTTTGAAAATGTTTTTTCTCCTTTTTTTTATTGAAGAATGACAGAATTTTGTAAAGTATTGTCCTTTACAGGTTCACAATAGAATGAAATCATAAGAAATGAAATTAATAAATATCAAATAAATCAACTACTTTTTTAACTCATTGAAAAATCATAGTCCTATGGCAAGTATCAAAACTATTGACTGATTTAAAGTGTAGGTGGATTCTGGTAAAGTAAGGTCTCTTAGGTTAGTCCAGCATATATGTCTCTTTGGGTTAACTTGAAGAAATTATTGTTATGCTCATCTTGTAGAAATACTTCTCGTTGTTATGCTCATCTCGTAGAGATATTTCTTGTGTCTGACTCTCAGGAACATCTTTGAGATGTGAAGTACTTCATTAAGAGCTTAAGATCGTCTCTTATGTCGTTGTTGCACCATTTAATATTCGAGCCGCCTTTTCAGGTTTTCAACTCGAATCCTCCTTTAGTTTCAAGATGCTATTTTTGACAATTTACATCTTGGACCCCCTTTTATCATTTTTCATATCATGCATTAAAGATTTTAAAAACCAATTTTTACAAATAAAAATCAATCTTGAGAGGCGGAATGAAATCTGAAGATATTCTCTTTCACTTAGAAATCCATGTATGATTAGAATGGACTTTTCAGGTACGTAACGTTGGTCATGGCTTATGGTTACGAAAGAAAGGGATAAAAAGGCCCAAATAAGTGTTTAAAGGTAATCAAACCAAGGATCAATTCATTTCGATGCCTTCACCTTGCCTTGCTTAACTTGGATCTGCTTTGTTGGGGATTTTTCCATCATCTGGATCCCTCTAGACTGCCAAATTTTGGATTCATTTCCATTTTCTCATATCTCCAACATTTCTTGCTCTTCTTGTTTGTACTTGATCAACCTTGTAACTTGAGGCTCAATAAGTCACCCATCTTGATTCAATTTTCTTTTTTTTCTTTTTCTTTTTCTTTTATTTTTATTTTTTTTTTCTTTTTTTTCTTTTTTCCTTCTTCTTTCTTTACTGGATGAGTATAATACTTCAATTGCTTTGAGCACCTCCTTTTCCTTTTGCATTTTAGAGATTTTCCATTATTCTTGATTGGATTGATCTTCAAGCACTCTGTATTTGACATACCTTGTAGTTCAAAACTTTCTTGACTTCATGGAAACTTGTCTTCGTAATAAAACTGTATTGACAATCTTTATTCTTGTGAGCAAATATCCTTCACTTTACCCCCAATGTGGAGGGTGATCCTTGGTTAGGGTTGAATTAGAAGAAAAATCATTCAGGCTCAAATGAGGACAACAAAGGATATATATATATATATATATTAAAGGATAAATGAAACAATGCCGTTCATCATCTCATACACAGAAACCTTTGTAAAAAGAGGTATCCACAGGGGGATGAATATTCAAGATTAACTTTATTTATATGAAAAAATGTAATTAATGCATGATATATTTATTTCAATCAATCACGTTTTCCTTCTTCTTTGAGTATGTCCCAATCACTCAAAATTATCTTCGATAAGTTGGTCTATGATGCCTCATCTCGTCTCTTCTTGCAGGAAGATTCCCGGATAATTGAAAGTTTGGTTTTTTTGAGGTTTTTTTTGGTTTATGATGGTTTTGTATTTGGAA